CATGCAATGGAGAAAGGATAGCATCTTCAACAAATGGTGCTGGGAAAACTGGAAATCCATATGCAACAAAATGAAATTGAATCCCTATCTCTCACCATGCACAAAAGTTAACTCAAAATGGATCAAGGATCTAGGAATTAAACCAGAGACTCTGCATCTAATAGAAGACAAAGTAGGCCCTAATCTCCATCATGTAGGGTTAGGCCCCAATTTCCTTAATAAGACACTTATAGCACAAGAATTAAAACCAAGAATGACCAAATGGGATGCATTCAAACTAAAAAGTTTTTTCTAAGCAAGAGAAATAATATGTGAGGTGAATAGGGAACCTACCTCCTGGGAACAAATTTTTACCCCCCCCCACATCAGATAGAGCTCTAATCTCTAGGGTATACAAAGAACTCAAAAAGTAATACAAACAAACAAACAAACAAACAAATAACCCAATCAACAAATGGGCCAAGGACTTGAACAGACACTTCTCAGAAGAGGATATACAATCAATTAACAAATATACGAAAAAAAAATGCTCATCATTTGAAGCAATCAGAGGAATGCAAATTAAAACTACTCTAAGATATCATCTCACTCCAGTAATAATGGCAGCCATGATGAAGACAAACAACAAAAAGTGCTGTCGAGGTTGCAAGGAAAAGGTACACTCATACACTGCTGATGGGACTGCAAATTGGTGCAGCCAATTTGAAAAGCAATGTGAAAGCTTTCCTTGGAAAGCTAGGAATGGAACCACCATTTGACCCAGCTATTCCTCTTCTTGGACTATACCCAAAGGACCTAAAAATAGCATACTACAGAGACACAGCCACATCGATGTTTATAGCAGCACAATTCACAATAGCTAGACTGTGGAGCTAACCTAGATGCCCTTCAATGAATGAATGGATAAAAATAATGTGACATATATACACAATTAAATATTACTCAGCACTAAAAAATAATAAAATCATGGCATTTGCAGGGAAATGGATGGCATTAGGGCATATTATGATAAATGCAGTTAGCCAATCCCCCAAAACAAATCCCAAATATCTGATATAAGGGGGTGACTCAAAATGGGGAAGAGAGGAAGAGCATGGGAAGAACATTACCTCTACATAGGGAATAGAGGTGGGAGGGAAAGGGAAGGAGAAAGGGAATTGCATGGATGGTGAAAAGAGACCCTCATTGTTATACAAAATACATGTATGAAGATGTGAGGAAAAAAAAGAATAGCATTAACCTAGATTAAGTAGAGAGGAGTAGAGAAAGGAGAGGAGAGGGGTTGGGGAGATAGGAAGGATAGTAGAATGAAACAGGCATATTATTACTGTGTGTATATATGTGACTGCATGATCAATGTGATTATGCAACCTGTACACTCAGAAAAATGAGAAATTATATCCCATATGATTTAAATGTATGATATGTCAAGGTCATTGTACTGTCAGGTGTAACTAAGTAAAAAAAAAAAAAACACTGTTTCTGCTCATGGAAGCAGCTGTCTTATTCACTTAGCTGTTATTACTGACTGGTCTAGATGTCTCACAGCTGGTAACTATGGGGAGTCAGGAAGAAAAAGAGGGAGGAGAGGAATGCAAAAGAGTCCAAGAACCTGAAAAGACCCCCTTATACATTCGGTTCATTAAAATTTGTATAATGAAAGAAATTCTTATTGAGCTTATAATAATAATAGTCTASTCSTATTTCTACTCKTCACAGTRTGTTRATCTTCACAAAAKGGACTATTTCAGAAACACAGACTTAGTTGACAAATCTCATGAGGAATAAGAGACAGGTTTAATATTTATAAACTGAAATTAGCCTCAGATTACACCTTACTTTGTAACCAAGAGGTTTGTACATTGAAAAGATTCAAGATCTCCCCTGGGATCAAATTCTGTATTTAGCGGGAACCTGAGAATCATTATCTAAGAGCAGCTTGTATGAGCAACAAAAGACTGAGGAATGACTCAAAATTCCATGAGAGATGTGAGAACAGACCTGAGATGAATAACAGTTATGGTGGAAAACAAAAAGTTAATATCCACCATTAAAACAAACAACAGGACATCGATTAGAAAGGGTAACTCTATGTGTAGTGGAAAACAAATTTATGTTCTTAGTGAGTTCATATAACCCACTTGCAAGTTTATATAACCCACTTGCAAGTTTATATAACCTCTTACAAGTTTATATAACCCCTAGAGTATTCTGTAGCTACTGCCAGTTAAAAAACAGAAGGCACAAACTTCCTGAGATTATGTAAGAAAGGACATGAAGAATGATCACCAGCCCTGAGATGGGCTGGAAAGAGGCTTATCATCATTCAGGTACAAGGAAGCTGTCCTTGTAGATGTCAAATGCATCCTTGTCTTTCTTTCATAATTCCTGTAATTCAGTAAATGTGCCCTCTCTTCTCCTAAAGGTTTTTAAGTATCTCCAAAGATTTTGATCCCTTTATGGAACCAGGGATAACTTGATATGCTTTCTCCAGTGTCAACAAAATCTTACCCAATTTATAAGAGCTGAGTAACTCAGGTTCCAATACACTACTCACTGGCCAAAACAAACTCTAAAGGGACTATTTATTCCTCAATGACAGAGCAATTCCTGTCAGCCTAAAATTTTTGTGAGARCTGGTTTTCCTTCATCAGCTGATCTCAACAGTGAGTACTAACAGAATAGATTCAGAGACACTGTCAATTCTCACCTGCTTTGGAATGAGAGATTACTATCTGTGTTTACCTCTTTTTCTCCCCAATTATCTATGAACATCCCCTACCACTTTTCTTTGGGACTTCCATGATGGAATAAGAAGGAGACACAGACAGGCTTGCTATGTATACAATCAGCTTCTCCTACATGCATCAAAGACATGCAAACTATACTGAGTAGCCAGAGGGCACCTACCTGATTTCTCCTCACATGCAGCTTTCTCCTTTGTTTCTATGATACCACAGGTTTTAAATTTCTTTCTCTCTTTAGACTGAAAGTTGAGTGATTAAATGTAATAAACAAGAAAATAGAAAAATTTCATCCAAATGTTTGTAGACACTGCCTGATGTTCTTTCTCATCACCCAGCATTTCTCAAACCATTGGTGATATTTCAGGGTGTGTATGGTGGTGTTATGGGCTGATAGGAAGGATGTGGTAGGGATCACACTTCACTTTTGGCTTTCTCCTCAACTTATATCTCCTACTATGGGCTTCTCCATTTATCCATGTGATGCAGTATAAATTCTCCCTCACCACAATCTGAAGGCTGAATTCTCCAAGGTTTTTCCTAGGAAATGCAGGATGTCAATATCAAAATAGCTCTTCATCTGCCTGTATTGTAAACAATCTTTTGATGCATCAGCCTAGTTCTTCTGTCCCTAGTATTCAAAATTTTACGTTTCTTAGAAGTCAACTTAATGAGGGGAAACCTCTAGCAGCTTTAGGGCCTTAATTTTATCTTTCATTTGGTAGCCAAGAAACTAATCATGAAGGCATCACTCAGGTGAGTCTAACATTAATCATTTTCTGTTCTTATTCTGAACAGACTAAATTCTGAATTCCTCCTGTTGATCAGTAACTTGGATTGTTTGTAAAGAACTCAATGTTATTTCTTGACATACAATTTAAACAAAGCCAAATTTAGAGCTTTTTAGCAAATTCAGTTTCTTGGTATGCACAGAATCTTTAAAAAAAACATAACTGAAATCTATACTGGTTCTAAATCTACTATTATTCGAACTACGGGATTGTCTCAATCATGTAACCCTCAGGGAAAGATTTCTCAGGAAGATCTAATAGAAATGCTTGGCTGGTCTGAATATTGTAGTTAATCTAAACTGTGGAAATACACAGGGAAGCATTCCTTTTGTGAGCAAACTCAGAGGGGGTAACTGGCATTCTGTTTCCCATCCTTAGAAAAGCCCTGCAGTTTCCTCCTAGGAACTAGTAAGATAATGAATACATGTGCTATGTCTAGCTGCTGTGGCAATGCCCCTAGAGTCTTATCAGCCTCAACCTTGATTTCAGGCACACAGCTCCTGGGACAACCAAAATGTTTCACTGAGCTTAAACCTCTCCACATAACAGTAACTTTATACAACGGACTTTCTTGAGACTTACACAGAGTTCCTAACATTGCACATTGCAATTTAGTCTGTAACTGAGGGATAAGCTGCATAATGTTGCTAAGTCTGTAACCTGCCTAGTAATACAATGAACAGTATAAACTAATGATGCCAATGACTTAAAGTAACCTATGGATATAAATAAAGCTGGCAGCTTGGCCATTCTGCCATCTTTCCTCCTTCTGCAT